CCCCAAAACCCCAAAACCCCGTGTTTCTATAATACCTTCAAATATAAAGAGATAGTTTTAATGATTTATTAGAAATTACATATATATCATTAAATATACTAATTCTGAATGTAACTATTTATCAAATGTATATATTTACAAATATTTTTTATTTAGGAAGCCATATACAATGCAGTATTCTTCAAACATTTACTGATTTTTCGAATCTTTTAGCTAATTAATTCTCTTCTGATCCTGCAGGGGGCTCTTCACTCTCAAGCTCTATAATGAATGCCTCTTATTTTCCTTTACCGTCAAAACATAGCATGTGATCCAATTCCATTTTTGCAATGCCAGTCCACTTCTTGAATACTATTTCCATATGTATTTCAAAGTAACCCCATCCAATTCTTGATATTAGGAAAGGTGGCTCACTAACTTTGATTACGCTAGGCTTAAATGTTGGATGTAAGTGATAGGTCACACTTTAAATAAATCTTCCTACTTTTTCCTTATCTTATTCGTTTGAAAGAGCTACATACATAATCCACCTATGGCAGTTTACCTTAGTATTGTCACTATTTGCAGGCTTAGGGTTCTTAACTTCTTCATGCAAATTCCCAAAGCTAAATTTGATTGCGACTTTATTGCCTCGCCATAATCCTGCTGATATCAATTGACTTTTTCTTTCAGCAAAATCTGCTGGGAATAGTTATTCTATTTACTGCTAGGTTTCTAAATCTACTTTGGGAACGAACTATTCATCAAATTATCTTCTGCACATTGGACAGGTTGCATTCACCTGAATCAGTTACTTTTGGCAAGATAAACAGAATAAATGCTTGCAAGGTGTCATTACTGGTTCTGCAATGATTTCGAGACAGACTGGACACTCAAAATCAGCTTTTCCTTTTTTCTCAGTTTTAGTAACTGTTGATGTGGTAGTTCCCTTAGCTTTTTGTGTTTGCGATTTTTTCTCCATTTAATTGTTTTTAAGATATATGTGTATTAAATGTTGAATGGTTTTATACAATTAAATTAAATTATGAAATTCTTACTCATCTACCAATTTGCCAGAAATCATGTGTTCTTTTGGGGTTTTGGGGTTTTGGGG